CCATCTTAGGGGTTGAGGAACTCGCACAACAGGCCGCCCGCGCCGCTTCTTCGACGGCGGTGACGAGAGGCAGCTGCTGCTGCGATGTCAGGGCACGGTCGGGCCGCGGGGTTCCAGACTGTGCAAGCTGGGTGTTCGTAACTGTTGGTGATGGTCCTTCAGTAAATGGTCCTCTCTTCGGGTGCTCTTCGCCAGCCGTGCAGTTGGTGTCACCATGTTTTCTTGAGTCTGCGGGTGTGGTCGAGGTGACCGTTGATTTCATATCGTTTCTGGTTTTGTCGTGTCCGGCATTGGCTGATTTGCTTCCTTCAGCAGATGATTGCCCGTGAGAGTGGAACGTCCATCCCGGCACTGAGAGGGTGTCCTGAACAGCCGTGTCCGGTTCTGTGGGAGCAGGACGTCGGGCTGTGGCCGGAGGTGGCTGTGGCTGACATTTCCGCTCTGACGCTCGGACAGGGACATTTCCAGCGTGCATCCTCAAACGCTTCCGGGACTTGATGGTCTTTATCAAAATATTGATATGAGAGAAACCGATGATAGCGAATCCCAACGTATATTCCAAGAGTAGTGAGATGAATGTTTCTAGTCGTCTTTTCCGGTTTGCGACGAGTCTGATGGGCCAATTGTCAGGCGTCCAGGCAAACACCGTCGAGCACTTGCCGTAGGCTTCCTTTCTTCCCAGCATGAAGTTAATGATACCCGGCAGCACGGCGACAGCAGTGAAGATCAGAATGTTGCGGCGCACCGCCGGGTAGCTGTGATTTCTGATCACGATCAGATAATGGAGAAACGTGATTGTCACGATGGTTCCGAAGTTGATTGATCTTGTGACTTGAATAGAGTAATAGCGTATGAAGCAGTGAAGCGTCTCATTGATGTGACCGTTTAAAGTTTCGACGATAGGGAAAAGCACCCATAGGATGCTGTTCAGGCAAAGCAAAGAGGTCAGGTAGTTGACCAAGGTATGCAGTCGTCGATTCAGAATAATGATCAAAATGACCATAAGGTTTAGTGTGATGGCCATAAGGACGCTGAAGGCGACCACCGATATGAAGACCGCATACATGGCCGTCGGGTCATCATCGTCCTCTGCCGACCTCAGCTGGCAGACGTCCCTCGTGCTGTTGTCCGGCTGGGTAGTGACGTAGCAGAGGAGCAGCTCCTGAACGCGCCGGACGCACTCGGGGGAGAGTTTGTCCCAGAGCGCCGCTCCGGACATTGTGTCACCTCGGCGACCGACGCGCGACTGACCCGCCACGGCACCCGACCGCCGTCTCCTTCGCTGTGATTGATCTCCAACTACCAATGCTGACGTACGATTTGTTAGAAGAGATCCAATCATTTTTGAACGGTCATAGTGCAGCTCACGCACATTGAAAAGGAGGCACTGTGAAAGAAAATAATCAGGCATAGAACTCTATAGTTATAAAGAAGTCAATACATCAGGTGATTTCGATCAAGCCTTTTCACCTGACACGTTTTTTATCGGCAATGTGCGATAACAATAACAGAAGGACTTTGAAAATAGCAACTATGCAATGTGTCTTGAGGCATGTAACTGCTTATACACGTACCATAGGTTTTTTTTTTACTCATCTTTTCTTTGGGTAACGATTTTCGTACTACGATGGACATTGGACACCGGACAGCCATGTCTCCAAAGGGATGGTCCGAAAAGCACATAAAACGAATGTAGTTCTAGCCACATCAAACAGACGTCAGTCCCCTCTTGTCCATCAGTACCAGCATCGATATCCAGTATCCACCTCCCTCAGAACACGGACACCTCGTCAGCAGTCGACGGAGGTGTTTGTCGGCGCACTGCGCGTGCACTGACCGTGTAAATACGACACAAAAAGGTCACAAACAGCGCAGTGACGGATGCGGTGCTGGCAGTGCGGTGGCGTCCAGTGACGTCCAGTGATCAGTGACGAGGTCGGAGGCATTGGTCACCGAGCCGCACCCGCGCACAGCGGCTCCTCCGCGTCCGCGCCCCGCACACCGCCACGCAGACCCCGCGGCACGGCGCGGCGGTGGACGACTCCACGGATCGTCATCTGTTTTACCCGTTATCTCCACGGGCCGTTACTATTTAGGGGTCCACGTCAAAACAGCTAGTGACTATTGAGCTAGTGACTTTTGAGCTAGTACAAAAGAGCTAGTGCTTCAAAACAGCTAGTGACAAAACAGCTAGCGCCAAAATAGCTAGTAATGCAAAATAGCTAGTGCATCAAATCAGCTAGTGACAAAACAGCTAGCGTCAATATAGCTACTATGGACGTCAAACCCCTTGAGACCCCACTTTTTTGCGATAATTTTTTAATGCGTCAACTCTCGTTGACAATATTCTGGCAATGTGTGTTTCAGAACCTGCCGAAACTTTTATTACTAAGGTATTTTGACGCTAAACGATTATGAAAGGTACTTCTCATTCACTCGTAATGTTAAATTTCACGGAACGAATCTGCTGTTTGGGTAGAGGCTACGCGCTCCTGGGGCGGAGCCACGTAATGACGTCAGCGCTAAGCTCCGCCCTACCCCTCCGGCGCTCCTTTCCCGGCGACCGGTCACTCGCGTCTCTCGCTCCATTCAGGCTTGATGGTGGGCGGTAGCTGGTAGCGGTAGCGGGCGCTGGTAGATGGCATTTAGAGCAGATGGCGCTGGTGGCGGGGCTCGAGTGTGGCCGAGCCCAAGCCTCTGCCCGGGCCTGAATTGACCTTAACATTACGAGTGAATGAGAAGTACCTTCCATAATCGTTTGGCGTCAAAATACCTTAGTAATAAAAGTTTCGGCAGGTTCTGAAACATGCATTGCCAGAATATTGTCAACGAAAGTTGACGCATTTAAAAATTATCGCAAAAAAGTGGGGTCTCAAGGGGTTTGACGTTCATAGTAGTAGAGCAAAATATAGCTAGTGCTTCATTATAGCTACTGACAAAATCGCTAGCTTCGAAATAACTAATGAAGCAAAGTAGCGGATTTGTACTAAGTACGAGCAGCTATTATAGATTATTTCCCGATGAATCCTTAGATACTTTCCCGACGACGAGTCCCGACCGGTAGAAGGAACAGAAGAGCACCGTTGTTTGACACAATTATTTGGAATGTTAGAAGGACAGAGCTGGACGGGATCCCTAGGACAAGCAACAAATTAGAAGCGTGGCACCGGGGAATTCAAGGCATGTTTGACTCATCACAACTATCATTATTGTGATTTTTCACCGTCATCCAAATCAAGTGGCCAGGATGTTCCACACAGAGACATTAATGTCAGATTAGTTAGACCCTGTTCTTAGACCCTACAGGGAAGGCATTATTAGCAAAACAAGAATTCATTCGGGGAGTAGGTTTCAACATCACTTTGAATGTTTGAGATGGCATATCGCGGGAAAAACATATTTACAGTAATAGATATCTTGCATTTTCGAAGCGAAGTGAATGGGAAGGGAACAGAGGTCCAACGAAATAGCAATTTTGGCGATAGCTTTTTCGTCACTAGCTGTTTTGAAGCACTATAAATAATTATATATATTATATATTATATATATATATATTATATAATTATATATTATATAATTATAGCTCTTTTGTTTCACTAGCTGCTTTAACGCTAGCTGTTTTGTCACTAGCTGTTTTTATGCACTAGCTATTTTGCTTCACTAGCTATTTTGACGCTAGCTGTTTTTTCACTAGCTGTTTTGAAGCACTAGCTGTTTTGTACTAGCTCAAATGTCACTAGCTCAAATGTCACTAGCTATTCTGACGTGCACCCACTATTTAGCGTGTTCACCAGGTATTTCGTCTCTGGGTGTTATGGATGTACCGCACTGAATGGCTGCCAACGGTATATTCCAATATGTAATATTGATATTGCTGATGATCTCATTTTATCACTTTGCATTGCAGCTGTGATGGCAACACTTTACACTGCAATGCGAATTGCCCAGCCGCCGCAATCTACCTTTGGCCTCTCGCTCGACCCAGTCTGACCCAGCCACTCGGGTGCCGAGCTTGTGTTATTCTGAGCAAGCCGACTCATCGAATGCGTGCGAATTTGCTCTTCTAGAGGTAGGAGTTCTCAAAAAGACGATTTCTAGAGAGCGTCTGATCTTTGGCTTGAATGCATGATCAAAATATACCAGCGCTGTTGGCTGGCGGAATAATGCGGATTATCTCCAGGAGACTGGACTGAAACGACGACCGTCTGGTGCTTTGCTATAGGGCTAAACCTATCCCGTTGGCACGGTAGTGTCCCTACAGTCCCGGCGTGACATTACAGACCAGCACCACCGCTAAAACTGTCATCCCGAATCCGAATGCCTTGCCTTACTCCATCAAAAGTCGCTTTTTTCTCTCTGTTGGGAGAAAGCGCTTTCGGCTTGAAAAGACCATTGCAAGGTTATATGATGATATGATGGGGTGTGGACATTGGACTGTGCGACCACCGACGCGACAGTGAGCCGCAGCGGTAGAGACTGTCCCGGCGCGGTGGGACGGGAATGTCCCGAATCCGATGGGACAGCCCGCCCTGCCGCTCAAACGGTCACCCCGGAGAGGGAGTGCTCCTGGTATGGACCTGTCCTCATCCACCGGTCATCTGGTGGGGTGACCGCCAGCCCGGAAAGGGAAGCGTGGGGGGTACAGACAGGCTTATCCTGACGATGGCGGGGTTGGAAGAGTTTGCCCTCCCAGGCGCAGTGGGGCTGGGGTTACCGTCAGATCCGACAGGGTTTAAACGAGGATGTCGATTCGCTGGTCCTAAAGGATGAGATATACTCGTAAGGTCGGATCTGCAGAAGCCCATGCTTGATGGTAATATAGGCGTCACCACTAGTCGTCCTCTCTCCTTCCATCTCAGCTCTTGTTACCCCTGGCCCCGGAACCTTGTGCAATGTGCACGCCTGTCGCAGGTTCTGGGAGTGCTGACACCTGACGGCCGGTTTGCGAACTACCCGCGCTGCTGGCCCGGGCCGGCCGCTCGGACCTCAATGTGCGGCGCTCGCTCCGCCAGTCCGGGTGCTCCACGCTGCCGGTCCGCCTCTGCCCGTTCCGGCGTGCTCTGCGCCCCGCCATGCTCGGTGTCCGGGTGCTGCTGCGGCTGCTGCCGCCGCTGCTGCTGCTGCTGCTGGCCGGACTGACCCCTCCGGCGGCCGGCTCCCTGTGCTTCTGTGACCGGAAGGCGTGTCCCACCGTCACCTGTTCCGAGGGACGCTCTCCGGTGCCCGACGACTGCAACTGCTGTCTGGTGTGTGGCCAGGCCGAGGGCGAGCGCTGCGGAGGCAACCACGAGCTGTACGGACGCTGCTCGGAGGGACTCGAGTGCCGCCGCCGGCCACCGGGGCTGGGCCAGCCGATTGGACAGGCGACTGAGGGGGTCTGCACTGGTGAGTACCGAGTGCGCTCCGTCCCGCGCCTCTGAGCTTCCTACAGCCGTCACATACCTCCGCGGTCAGCGTGAGATCAAACACCGCGCTACACACCAACTGGCGCTCCGGCCCACAGTCCACTCACTGCTCTACATACTTCTGTCCTCCTCGCAAATGAAGCTAACTAAATGAGAGTTAAATCGGATATCATGGCCACCAAACTCATTCTTCGTCTGTGGTATCTTGTGCCCCAATTGCTCTCAAATTGTGGTTGGTTTTAAAAACTTGGCACGATATCTTATCGGTTTCTAAAGCCATGCAGGGTAAGTAAAGGGAGCTGTCAAGCATATGGCATTTCATATGGCATCTCAGCCTAAATATATTGGAGAAAGATCGTAGCATTTGCAGCACATCATACTTAACGGGGGCCTGATTTTGTTTTGCAAAACGGGGGCCCAAATCTTGCAGTGTTTCGATCCTTATCGCGTCGCTGTATAATGATGATTCCATCGATATAAATCGTACACAGAGGAGATGGGGGATTGAGCTTCCCCACGGGTCAATTGGTAATTTTTGTCCAATAGCAGTGCACAACAAGAAACGAACTCTCGGACATAAATGTTGACGTTTGGCTCACCCCTTGAGTCCGGGCTGGGGCGGTCAGGGATGGGGTAGCCCGATATACTTGTGGCTTCCTATCGAGACAGCCGGCAATATAGTCCTGAATGATGGGAAGAAGATTTTCCGCTTCTGCGCATAACAAAGCCTGTGCGCTCATTCGTGATTATTTTATCACTTCGTCGCCACTCGTGCTAGTATTATCCCATGTGATCCGCTTACTATGATCCGCCCATGGGGTATATATGGCTTCCCTGTCATCAGGAAGATTGCAGGATTCTGATACGATCGCGTGCTCTCTCAAGATTGGTCGGGGTTTTCTCTCATGTTGTCTTTCTTCCCTTCCGACGGCTCTGATTGAATGGATCGAAGTCGTACCAGATGAAGGATATTGGATTCTCAGCGGTGTGCAGGATTAGTGCAATGGGCTTTTATTATGCATACTTTTTATTTGCCAAACTAGGCGCCTGAGTTTGGGAAAAATATGTGCCTTTGATACGTACTGCAGGTGTATCCTGGTCAAAAGCACACAAAGTGGTGTGCTATTCCTCGAACGATTTCGCATATCTCCTCTCCAATTTCTGCGTCAAGAGCCTGTCATCTTTGCTAGCCGGCGTGCTTCTCTTATCAACTACAGTTCACTCATGTGTCCCTGTGTTGTCGCTATGCTCGAACGGTATCGCAGATTGTTTGGTACATTTCCCGTCGCAGTCTGTCTGAGCTATCTCCTCAATGTCAAGGACGATAGTTTTTCTTCTGTCTGGGTATCAAAGCCTGGCTTATATCTAGCTCGCTAGGTCGCAGACGGAGGCGTGGCTCGGAACCGTGACCGAACGGAGACAACAAACGCAACACGCTGTTTGTTGCGACTGAAAAAAAAAACAGCGTGATAGCTCCGGTGGTCCAGCTGGATATGGTGCTTAATCCTTCAAAGTTCATTTCGCCGCGGCGCCAGTTGAAGCCTACATGTTTTTAGACAACTCAATGGCATCCTCGACAGTTAAATAGTGGACAGTGGACTCAGCGCACACTGGACTCACTGACAGTGAGACACTGAGTCAGCGTACGAGTCATCTATCCGGCAAACATGTCGCTGCAAACAACTGAATCACCCGGTGGTCCCAGCAGAGGGGCCACTGCGTAGCCGGGTGTTCTGGAACTTATTATTCATCGCCGGTATACAGTTCACGAAGCGAGCTGTTTGCTGGGCGACCTTAGACATGACCTGTTTCAAGGGGTCTCCCCGGGTTAGTGAAACTGACACGAGTGCGCTTGAGCGTCTGTAAATGAATCATCATTCATCGTGTGGGGTACCACAGCCCTACAATGAGCGTTTTCAGTGGTAAATGAATCGAAGGGACAGGGTATCATGACCCGTCATATGATCGGGGTTCTTTGACAAGGGATCAATGTTGCGTAAAATCGCATAAAATCGCGTAAAATAAAACTGCATCGTCATCAGTCGCTCTGTCTCCTTCTGCGATGCGGGATTCGGCCCGCGGCTGGCGGCTCAGGCGCTGACCGCTGACATTGGCTGAGGCGTCCGCCGGCTGACCGGCGCTGTTTCCGGCCTCACCTGCTCACTCGGCCCGCTGATATCAGCTCGATATCAGCCGCGTGGCTCGTGGCCCGCTGGCGCCCGTCCTAGCGTTGTTATTTACTCGGTCGGAGGGAAGGCGTCGTGACCTCTGACTGACGGGAAGCCTCGAGACTGCCCGGGCTGCGTCACTCACCCCGTGTGATGCGGCACAGCCTACCATTCCAGACAACTGATTACCTGTTAAAAGTGAAACATTATTATGTAGTCAACTGTACAATTAGAGGTGCCCTAACGGCGCAGGTCATTGATGTGGGCGCTGGGTCAGTCGGCTGGTTTTTGCCCGAGACCGGACTTCTGCCCTCCGCGCAGCCCCAGCACTGTGTCCCCGGCGACCTTTTTGTTCCGCGGATAACACGGCGATAAGAGACGCTGTGGTCAGTTTTTGCACGGCGCAGGTAGCCTAATGTGTTTATTAGGGCACCCATTGTCGTCAAGGCGTCGCTGACGACGCACACTGCACAGTACCCACAAATAAGGGTCCTCAGTTCTCAATGATGTTGATGGTACATACACTTTTGATTGCACTGTGAATTAAAATATGCATCGATATTCCCCCAACTCATAATTTGCTCCTTGTGGTCTCTAAATAGAATTATGCAACATGCAACGTATACGTTGTGAACTCATCGACGGGCCTGGGCCAGTCGGGAAAACCAAGACGACAGATCCAGCGAGAACGGCCACAATTGGGCGACCACGCATCATTCACGGCATACACTCCTTGCTGTTGACTCGGGATGATACCCCAGTGGCTGCTACGGTGAGAAACAGATTGGTCCGCACTCCGCAGGGCTTGGGGGAGCGCTATATAGTCGGACAGAACAGCGCAGTGTGCAGTGCCGGCCGAACAAACCAGGTCAGAAGACACGTGCAGCGTTAACTTAGCCGGAGAGCTATCCCGCTGTTTGAAACCCATCTGTTTGAGTCCGAATCCTGTTGGTAGATTCAGTAAAACCCAGAGCTTTCACCAGCACAAGAACTCTAGACTATGAGCTCATCACGACGTGGACACAACTGACCAGCTGTGTACAAACTAGGGGTCAGCCATTCAGCTGGTGCGTTACAAAAACTATGTTGTGGCTAAGTGGGCCGACTATGTTTTCTACTTATATTCTTTTTGTTTCCGGTCACACGGTTTTCTCCAAGCACAGCTACAACCTTGCTGTTACATGTAAATCGTCGCTAAAGTTTCTCCCACTCTGCCAAGTCCTAAGATGGGTCTAGTGGCTGGCCAGCTGGGCTGGTAAACCTGGCTTCAACAATCGCTTCTGCAAAAGCATATTTAATTTGGGGCCGCTACCAACGACCATGGCACTAGCCAGTGACCTGCCATCGCCTGAATACCCTCCTTTGACCTACCGTGACCGGTCAGTGACCTAGCTGCGCCGCTGGTGGGTGGGGCGCCGCGCCGCTGCCGTCAAACACTCCCGAGACAATCCATATTCATGAGAGCTTTTTACTCGTCTGTGGAAAGGCGGCCGATGATGTGTGCGCGCTGGTGCCGGGCTCCCCGCGGCGGTGGACCGGCCCGGCCCTCCGCCGGAGCGGGGTGGGTGAGGCGGCGCACCGGTATTTACTCGTGAGGTGCTCGGCTCCCATGGCTGAGGCTCCGGTCTCGTGAGGATGGCTCTCTTATGTCGTGGTGGCCGACATATTGGGGAGAGAGGGAGGGGCGATGGCAGGGAGCCCAGGTCCTTGCTGATGTCCCTGTCGCCGTCCTTCCGACGTGGTGGCTGGACGACATGTGAGGGTAGAGAAGAGTGATGGTGATGAGTGATGAGAGAGAGAGTAGGTGATGGGAACTCAGCTTTGTCCCGCTATGCGAGGTGCTGTCTCTCAAGGGACTCACCCTCGGTTGTCACCGACGTCAACTACGCCGGGCTTTCAGTGACACTGGCGTTTATAAGCACAATTTGTTCTGAAATGTAACATTATAAGTCAACTGATAATGGTTTTTCTCCGCGGTGAGGGCGAGCGCCGCCCATGTGATTGCGTCATACCGCCCGCTCGTCAGGTCCGCATGACCCGAGCCCGGGTCATTCGCGCTCGCAGCGCCGCCGAGAGCAGTCAGCCACTGAGCCGTGGGCTGAGCGCGGCGCTTCCTGCTTTTCGTGACGTGTCGTGTTTTTTTCGACACTGCTGCTTCTTGACAGCACTGGAGGTGAGGTGTCTTGGAGATCGCATTAGTGATAACTATGTCGATACCTTTGCGGCCGCATTGCCGATCAGCAGATATTGCATCTAGATTCTTTGCTTGGACTTTCCAAGTCTGACTGGTCTCATCGCTGATGACATCTTAATGTTTCGCGTTACGTGCGAGCTTGACAGTCTGTGCTGTGCGCGCAATATTCTCGGCCCTCGTCAACCTCCGGTCTAGCAGCATGATTTTCGCATTTTAGGAGGCTCGTTTGTAAATTACCTAAGTACCTATAGGTAGCACCAATCAAGCAAAACTAACTTCTCGCTGAGTTTTGAGCTGCATGGGACGGTCTAATTCCGTCCCCGCCTACCGGTTTCCTCCCCGTCTGTGCCGTGGACGGTCGCCAGCCGCATCAGCTGCTCATGCCTCGGGGCATTTATCGGCGTCTGGTGCCTGGCCGGCGCGGCCCGGACACTAGTCCGGCCGACCTGCCCACTGGGCCCCCGGGGCATTGACCTACTGACCTCTCTCCCGCATGGGGCGAGTCGCATTGACCAGATTCGGACGCAGATACATAAGTGAGTGATGGACAAATAACTTACAGCTACATCACCACAGCTATTACAGCAGCCTGGCATGAAAATTTTGCCATGGATTAGTACATATGAGCTTTTCCACCGCTGCATTGGCGTCTCAGTGCATCG